ACAGACTAAAATGGCCTTAGAGTGAAAGTTTGTCATCTTAATGTTATCCCCAAACCTGCTTTCGTCAGTGGAAGAACGTCATTGTGGAACAGACTTTCATTGTATGGAGAAAAAACATTTCTCAAAATTTGTTCTTCTATGTTCCACTAAAGAAAGTCAGTCATTTGACGTTTTTGTTGTCATTTTTGGTTAAACTAATACCCTTTAATTTAGGATAATAAGATATGAGCCAAAGTATTATTAACTTTACATTCTGTAGGATGAAATGTAGGGTTTGTTTCAGCATAAATATAGTACAGAAGTACATTTGAGTTAAAGGTGGATCTGTCGAGATGATGCATTCAGCTGCGGTCTCCTGTGGCACAAAAAAAGGACCGTTAACAGTCACTGCAGAGAGGAAGTATCCAAACACACACGTCTGTGGGGTCTGACCACCTGCTTGAGCGTGTGGCCTACAGAGGGTTGTGTGCAATGGAGGAGGTCTTTGTGTAAACACGTCATTGGATGTTTCCGGAGCTTTCCTAGACGACAGCCAAACCAATCCTATCCGTACCATCCATGTCTTCCAAGCATGCAATTCCTCTTTGGCAATAATAGTTGACAGTAAAAGCCCAACTTCCTGGCTTCCTTCCCAAAGTACCTGGTTTTAAGTCTGACTGGGGGGGAGGGTATTGGAACATGGTAGCTAGCTAATCTAAAGGTGTGGTCACATTAGTGAAATTTAGTGGGCAAAGAAGTCCATTGTGTATTGTCAGTAGTATAGAGATGTATGAAACACAGCTTACACAGAGGTCACTTTCAAACCAAGCTGCTTTCTGTTGGTCAACGTGGAGAATTCGCATGACCAACTTGAACTCTAGGCAAAATCTGCATGGGGAAATTCCCATTTGTGTGGATTCTTATTGAAATGACTGAATTTCTCACACGGAAATTTGCCCAACAACATAAAAGCCAGTCATGGGCTGGTAGGCCATTTTGGACTCTCCACTTTTTTTGGAAATAGGCTCATTTTACAACTCCCCCAGAGTTAAACAGTTGGGTTTTACCATTTTCGAATCCATCCAGCTGATTTAATGATATTTAGAAGAATGTCAGTAACCAGACAGTTTCTGGTCTCATTGACTTCCATAGTATATATTTTTTCTGTGGTAACTGATTTTCTTCTAAATATCAGAAAATCAGCTGGATGGATTCGAAAACGGTAAAACCCCACTGTTTAACTCTGGGGGAGTTGTAAAATGAGCCTATTTCCCAAAAAAGTGGAGTACCACATGGTGGTCAAGCAGCTAATGTCTAGCTTGAACAAGTTTAGTAATCAGATTAGTCCAGTTCTAAACCAGCTACCATGTGGCAAAACACAGTTAGTTTAGCTTGATTTTCCAACATGTTAGAAAGTCCATGTTAGAATCCGTTTTGTTAGTCCAAACCCCCAACGGGCAGGGTGCAAATTATAAACATCAGAAAAACAGATGCCATCCTCCAAGATCTGAGCAGGAACCATACCAGTTTCTCCAAGGAAGGACAACTGAAGGTTGTTACTCAGTCTATTGATCCTGCCTGGCATGAAGAGGAAGCCAGGCCTTGCAGATGCACTCTAGATATCAATATCTTTCAGCAATAATCAATAACAGCACTGTGGCAACAATGAAAATAGCCAGAGTGAATTGTGGTGGTGCAAAAGCAAGAAAAGGCTGATAAATCAAAATAAAAGTTCAGGCTCTGTGCTCTTAAAGGGGTGGTTGATTATGACTTCACTTTTCTAACTTTAGTTAGTGTATAATGTTGCTGTTTGAGCATAAACAACATCTGCAAAGTTACAACGCTCAAAGTTCAAAGCAAAGGGAGATATTTACTTTTAAAGAAATCATTTAAGGACTACAACTAAATGGCTGGTAGGAACTACACAAGCTTCCTCCTGGGTTAGTGACATCACTAAGCCTAAAATGTACATAAACCCCGCAACAGTCCATGATGAGAAGAGAAGAGCTGTTGTAGTCAAGCACATTTGTGAGTCAGCTCAAACTGTTTTTCACATGCAATAGAAAGTCAGTATGTGTGCATCTCACAACAGTTCCTATATGAGTGATTTATAGATTATCCTGACAGACTATGCTGATTGAAGATAGTTAACTCCACATCATCAGGAACATAAATTCATCAACTAACCATTCAGAGACACCCTGTTGCATTCTACGTGTTGTCACTTCTTAGTCTCTCCATCTTTGTCTGACTCCGGTTTAAACATAAAAGGCAAAACAGTTTCTGACATTTTAGCATGTGTCTGCATGACGTAATTGGAGCTGTTAACACACACACACACTCTTGAAGCTCCGCCCACTGTGTCGGGAGCTGCAGCTCATTTGCATTTAAAGGGCCAGACACAAAATCAAAAAGTGACAACTTTAACATGCTATATAAAAATATCTCTGGGGTATTTTGAGCTAAAACTTCCCATACGCACTCTGAGGACATCAGAGATTTATTTATCTTGTGAAAAGGGCATTATACCACCCCTTTAAATAATGACTCAGCAAATGGTATTACAATAGCCATTCAAACAGTTAAAGCTGATTATCAAGTCTTAAAAGCTGATTCATTACTTTATATGTGATACCCAAAGATGTGGCTGCCACTCAGTTGACTACGTAACATTATCTAATGTTTTACATCACACAACGGAGTCTGGCTGTGTTCAATGGATCAAATTCATCAAATTTAATCATGCAATCAAATTCAAAATGAGTTGAGTCAAAAAATCCAGAAATCACCCAATCAGATGTCCAAATTTGGTCTTTATCTTATCTCCCATTACACTTTAAAACGTTTTTTGTTTCCTTTGGCCATGCCTTTTCTCTTTTTTCCCCTTTGGCCATGTCTTTTCTATAGACACCAAGGACTGCCATTAAAAAATAGGTGCATGATGACCCAGGGGAAAAGGGGGGATGCACTGACCTATTAACCTCCTATATTCTACCCCCATTACCCTGACACATGCACACACACACACACGCAGAAATCTTTCACAGAGCAATAAATGGGTTAATGGCATAAGACTTCACTAAGGGAATATGAAGATTATTGATTTTAGGGTGATTAGTCCATAGAGGATGGATGGAGTGGGGATAAAAGGAGTAGGGAGAGAAAAGAGGTCAGTCCATAAGAGATTGGTGCAAATGGTCCCTTAGGCTGTTTCTAATTGATTGGCCCACTGTATTGTGTGTAACATGGTTTTCACAATATGGGCCTGATTAGAAATGTAAAATGTTAGTCTCATAAAGTGTGTGTATGTCCAGACATGTCAAGAGATCTCTTCATATTGCCTAGTGGAGGACTGATATTAACTGTACATAGAGTACACTTGAGGTAAGTCAGCATTACATGTGGGTGTTGGGTCATAATGCAGCGTGGAATACTGCTGATTGTAGCCAATTATCCATCCTAAGTGCAAAGGGTTTAATAGAAATATTTCTGCTTTAATTCCTAACATCAGCTCAAAACAGCTTTTGTGTGAGTGTAAAAAAAGTCTCCCTGGCTGTCGAAAAACTAATTTAGTGTACAAGCGGGGATCAATACCAGAGATTTTACTGACAGAGGAGCCATTATTAAATATTTGATCATGCGGATGTGTTCAGTTGCACAGAGGCGTAAAATAGATGGGGAACCGGAGTGCTGGCTCAGCTGAATGCCCTTCACTGTTCATTATATTTCACAGGAACCCTTCATCTCTGTTCTTCACAATGATTTGTGCCTTCTTAACACACATGGGCTAACCATGAAACACCTCAACAAGCTCTTGTGTGCGAGAACAGTGAAAATAATACATCGGAAGTACAGTTGTCCTACAGACAAAGATCAACTACATATTTTGTATCATTCATTTTCTTAATGTAATCGGGTTGCTAGGATTAAAAAGCCCTCAAAACCTCAAAATGAAAGTCACACAAATGATATATGGGAAGCATTGGTATCTTGCTAGATAAAACTTGAGCGCTTCACGTTAATTCTCAAAATATGACCGGTAAAACTAGTTTTGCAAGAATAGCCTAGGTGTTTGTCACACTCCATTTCCACCACTTACAAATGAGAAATGAATGAATATGAAATGAATCCGGTCAGTGCCGCTTCAAAAATATTTCAACATTTTGTCTATATAATAAAAAATTCTCACATATATGAATCCATATTAAAAAATCCATGATCTTTCCAGCATTATACGCATGTAGGCCTAGATAATGTTTGTGAATGGCTGATTATGGCAATAAATAATGATAATAATCATTTTAATGTTAACAGTACTTTTTTCCCCTAGCATCCTTTCCAATTTCACTATTCATTCAATTTTAGCACTTATTCTTTAGATACTGGCACTTATGCAAATTTGACTGACTAGCCATTCCATTAACCGTTGGCACTTATTCATTTCATAAGCACTTATTTATTTTACTACAAGTCATTAGTTTTACTAGTACTTATTAAAAAGACACTATTACGTTACATATTTACGTTACATGATATGATTACAAAAGTGACTAGCGAGACAAGAAATATAACTAGTGACAGTCATTTAGATACTATAGGGTCTCAGAAATCGTTAGACTACAAGTGTCTAGTAAAAGCACTAGTAAAGAAGGACTAAATACTAGCTATTGTTAGAGTTTCCATACCTAACAAAGTAGCCAAGTAAAAAGTTATTAGTAAACTGGAATGGATACCAGCAGCAACTAGCAATATACAGGCTAGTTGAAAGTTGTGAATTCAGATCTGAACAGCACATCCATCCACATAAAAACAGAAATAACTTTGTAAAAAAAAAAAAAAAAAGAAAAAGAAAGTTACTTGTGGTAATGACTAGTGGAATAGTATTAAATTGGCTACTAGACAATTTGAAAAGGATACACTTTTTGGGGAAAAAACAAAAACAACAATACAGATATTAGTTGTGATGTCTAGATAGTCAGCTTACTAGGTTTTGTGACACAGCTTTAGTTTTGTCTACATACCCGTCCCGTATGTGCGTGTTCGTCCTGATTGCGTAACTCGAAAGACTCTTCCTCCTCTTTCTCTCCATGATCCCGAGACAGCAAACTGAAGCCTTGTCTGCAGCACACAAGCCACCAAAGTCCCTGCAAAGGCATTCAAATCACAGCGTGTCGCCCAGTCTCTATCCGTAAATGTCCAGTGATGTCCACCGTCCCTGTGCTGTCGTGCAGATGGGCCCGATGGAGCACGTCTAGTCACATGAAACGGGCTGATACAAGATAGTAAACTCAACTCCTCTACTTCGGCTGGGACAACACAGAAATGCCGCGTTTTATCAAACGGGATATATCCAAATACTTGTCCAACTTCAGAAAAAAAACTGATAAAAGACTTTGATGCCACGGGTAAGTTCAAAAGGAGGGTAGATAACACATCGCGTCTAATCGGCTTCTATCGCGTCTCTGATTCTGCGGGACATGAGCATGCAGACACTTTCAGCAGCGTGAGTGAAGGGGCGGGGCGAGTCACCCCATGCGTTCGCAATCGCAAGATGATTGGCTCATCATCCACACGCCCAGAAAACCCCCCGCCCCCTGTGTCTGCTCGTTGGCATTTCAGGAAATGGAAGCATTCCAGTGATGGGATCAGAAATATTTAACTCTCATTGTAAAGCAAGCAACACATCTGTCATATCTACCCTCAAATTTAGACAATACACAAGGAAATTGTACCTTTTTACTAACTTCACTCTGTGCTCGGGTTACCTTGTAATTATGAAAGGGTTATTTTCTAGGTTTTAACCCAATCTGTCCTTATCCAAACTATGATGTAATCACAGAAGGGTTATCAACTTTGAATGGCAAAGTGAAATACAGCTTCTGTTATTTGGATAGTGCTGTGCTGGGACGCTGCATTAACAAGTAAGTGTGAAGTTCTGGGTAAAGGGGTGAATGAGCACTCTGTGTTTTGTGTGTATGTGTGTGTTGGGGGGGTAATGTAGTCTTCTGAAACGCATTATGTGCCTGAATGAAAAGCAGATGGACTCCTTTATTCCAGGAAACTCCTGTCACAAGAGGCTCTGAAGAGAGGGAGACAGACAGAGAAAGAAGGGAGAGGGTATGAGCACTAGAAAGACTTTTTTGTGAGACTTCCCAGAGGCCTGATGAGCCCCCTTCCCCTTTATTGTCTGTTTTCTACATTTTTCCTGTCAATCATTACATTTTTATGGCTTGCAGAGTAAATGATGTGGCCAGCAAACAAACATCACTAATTTTCATTTTCTTCCAGGAAATAACTGGTCAGATACCATTACTCAAATTAATCAATCTGAAAACTGAATTCAAATAGCTGAAATATTATAAATGAAATAATATAACAGACATGGCTTTATGTAATATTTCATTGTGATTGGTCATAAGCAGAATTCTGTGGCCAAATGACAGGATTAGTTATGATTAATTTGCATGGTTTAAAATAAAAGTGTCATGATGTTGTGTATTGGTTCATAAAAAGGTTCCTTGCTAAACTACACTGATTTGCTTGTCTCTTCGCAGATTTAAAGGACAACTCAGGCGCAAAATGAACCTTTGGTCTAATTACACATTGGTACATAGTCAACCGTTCTCTGAGATTTGTTTTCATGATAATTGAATAGAGTTTTATCTCTAAAAACTGTTTAGCTTACAACGCTAGTATATGGGGCATATACAGGCAGGAGCCAACTTTGGAAAACAGTCTCGAGCAGTCGAACCACGAACGCCGAGCCAAGTCCGCTGGTGAGATGTGAACGAGCCAGAACTTGGCTCGGTGTTTGTGGTTCGACTGCTCGAGACTGTTTTCTAAAGATGGCTCCTGCCTGTCTTCGCGAAGTGGACTGTTTATAAAATATCTTCTTATTAAACGGTCTGTACACTTACAACGTTCTCAATGCTTCGGTTTGCATATAGGGACCCTGATTATGCTACCGTGATAATGTTGGGCTATTTTGAGCCTTGTTGGTGGTATTAACTAGCGATTCGTATTTTCATTACTCTATGCCCCATATACTACCGTTATAAGCTAAACAGTTTTTAAAGATAACTCTTTACATTCGATAATCATGAAAACAAATCTCAGAGTGAGAACGGTTGACCATGTACCAATGTGTAATTGGACCAAAGGTTTATTTTGTGCCGGAGTTCTCCTTTAAGGTGGTCTCCCAGTGGGCGGTATCCCAGCCTAACACTTAAAGGAGAGCAAAACCCCTCTAAAACCAGCAAACTATATCAGCCATTGGTCAAACAAATAGATAGCCCCGCCCCAAATTCATAGTGGTTACCATTGTTGCGGTGTGTTGATTTTGAATCAGGGATGCACGATGTATATCAGCCACCATATCAGTATCGGCCGATATATGTCAATTCTTAATTTTATCGTTATCGGCCCGATAAGAAAATTTGGCTGAAACATTAAAGCCGATAAATAATGCATTATTTCCTTCAGCTGAGATGCTTCAGATGTGCACTGTTCGCCATGATGCTTTTGAATCGCTTGAATATGATTGGAATAGCTTCAAAAAAAGGAAAATACACTCAACTGCAACAAGTGCAGTCATATAGACTGTCATAGGCTACATAAAATTGTAATGAGAACATTATAATCATGTGCTTGGGACATGGCTTTTAATGGTGAGAGTTTTGTTTTTGTAATCAGACTCTCAAAAATGATATAAAACTTTGGATTTTAATTCATCGGCCAATATATCGGTTATCGGCTTTCAAAGAATTATCGGTTATCGGGTATCGGTATTGGCCAATATGTTCATATCGGTGCAACCGTAATTGGAAATGCTCAAAAAAACTATTGGGAAAATCAACCTAAACTACTTTTCAAATATACTCTTCTGCTCACCCAGGCTGCATTTATTTCTTTAAAAAAATACAGTAAAAATAGTAATGCTATGAAATATTATTACAATTGAAAATATCTGTTTTAATGTATTTTAAAATGTACTTTATTCCTGTGATACAAAGCTGAATTTTCAGCATCATTACTCCAGTCTTCAGTGTCACATGATCCTTAAGAAATCTTTATAATATGCTGATTTGCAGCTCATTTATTATTATTATCCATTTATATCCATAAAAATCCCTACTTCGAAACTTTAAAACCGTCAAGCATGAATGGCTTGCATAGTTGTATTAACATTGATGTATTAAATTCTTTAATTTATTCATAAAAATCCAGTTGGCAAACTTTTTGAAATCTGATCATTTCCTCAATGTGCTCATAACTTGTACCAATTGTGTCTTAAAGCTATAATTTTTCCATCACACGCATTGTCCGTCTTTCCACTCTATTCTTTCTTTCCCTGAAGTCTCACACAGAACCCGACTCACTCACTCACTCACTCATCTGCACCCATAAATCACACTTTCAAAAAGCACACCAAACAAACTTTTGCTCGAGCACAAGCACGCCGATGACACATGATATTTTTCAGGGCCCCTCTGTGCTCCCTTCGCTCTCACTCTCTCTCTCTCTATGCCTTCATTTCCTCTCGTTTGCTCGGCTCTGCTCTCTGCTGACTCTCTCCACACATTCATCACTCCACAAGCTGGCCCTGGTGTTTGTCTTTAAGTCTGCCTGTGGCTTTACCAAACACTCACACACACACACACACACACACACACTCACGCAGGGGTATAGCAAGCTGTCCAGTGAAAACCCCCTTCTTGGCATCTCTCTCTTTCAGTCTCTCCCTCGTCCTTTCTATCTAACAGATCACGTATCATTTTCCTCACAGCTTATAATTCTGCTTTTCTCTCTTCTCATCTTCCTAGTCATGCCGCGTCAGACCTGCCTCCCACCTGACCTGCTCCTGGAACAGATGGTTTATTTTTAGAGCGCTCTCTCTCTTTCTCCCTCTGTTTCACTCTCTCTGCCCACGCAGAAGAAAAAAGGAGTCTTGTGTCTATATATATGGCTTGTGAGAGAGTGAGTTTTTTTAAAGAAAAAACAGTCTGTCATTATCACACCCATCTTTTGTCTCTGAAGACAAGGGAGTGAGAGGAATTTAACCACACTGATGCTTTCAGTTTTCTGTCTCATTTTCACAAAACAAACCCTAAATCTTCTTCTTTCGGGTTTTTGGTTTTTTGGATGCCACAGCCCACAGGAGTGTAACTTTTTTGAATGAAATTATATATAATGCTAATTTCCCCGAAGTAGTAAAAATAATCACCATCAATTGTACAAGCAAACATTTTGTGCATGACCACTTAGACTCAAATCAAGGTCAAAGTTTGTTAAGATTTATATCTATAACAAAAAAAGTCACCAGGTTTTTAATCTTTCAAATAAAGAAAACTATTTGTGTATGTCAAACAAGCTTGTAAGAGTTCTAAATTATATGAAAATGTAACAGGTAACAGATGCTTTACAATGTACAGATGAGTCAAGAAACATGTGCAGAAAAAACGTTAATAATAATAACAGGCATGGATTTATGTAGGATTTTCATTGTGATTGGTCATAAGCAGAATTCTGTGGCCAAATGACAGCATTATTTATGTTTTATTTTCATGATTTAAACTAAAAGCGTGATGATGATGTTGTGTTAACTTATAGTTTGGGAATGTGAGTCATGGTCTTTTGCCTGCGCTTCACTTTTTTCCTCTCCCTTCATGCCTTGCATTCAGGTCCCAACTTGGTGTGATTGACATTTCCTGTCTGCGAGGTCGTTTAAGGCCTTAAGGTGTTGATGCAGCTTGAGAAATGGGATAGAGTCAAGCCCTGAGTCAGCCTGATATTAGACAGACACCGCACTCATAATATTCATCCTAAAAAGCTCTTCCACCTTGAACTGCTTGTTCATGAATACACTTTTTCTCTTGTTTTGTATTCTCCTGACTTGTTTCTGTCTTTGTTTATTCATCCTAATGGCTTGTCTGAAATGTGTCTGAATAGCTCAGAAGCTGTAGATGTCAGAGGTCATCTCAGGCCTTGTAAATCTATGTCTAGGACATTGCAAATGACCACCACACAAACATTTACTATGCGTCATGGTAGATGTGCTTGAAAGATAAAAATGCCTTTACTATGAAGTTCTGTTTTTGGCACATGGGCTTTAAACACAATATCTGTGTTTGGTTTCTTTCTTAAAGGTTATCACTGAGAAGGTCTGCTCACATAAATGGCACCAAACAGAGCAAGCTGCCTCAGCAATGAACGCATGCACTTTATTAAACTTTTCTGTGCAGAGTATTGTGCTTAACAGTGCCTTTTTGCAAGTGCTTTTTCAGAATAAAAAGTAATAAAAAAGTAATTGTTAGATATGTAGTTGCATTATGAGATATAAAGTCACATTGTGAAAGTTACATTGTCTGATATAAAGTTAAAATAAAAAGTCCCAATTAGGAGAAATGAGTCACAATTGCAAGATAAAAATTCACATTTTGAGAATATTGTCAGATATGAA